CGCTAACCTGAGGTTCAGCCTCCGGGCCCTAGAACAGGGTTCCTGTGGCTTTATTCAATGGCTCACACCCTTCTGGGCCGGAGCCTCTACAGCGCTCTAACTGGCCCTCAAGGAGGCAGCATGCCCTTTCTGCACAAGGTCTGCGGTCCTGCTCCACACCTCATCTTAAGATCTAAGCCACTGGACTGGTTTCTAAGGAAGGCGGACACTGTGCCGAACAACTACCAGAACCAATCGGACTGATGGTCGCTGAGAGCGAGTGACTGGTTTAACTAGAGCACTCCTCCCCAGCAGAGAAAACTGGGAAAATGAGCTATTTCGGCCTCACGTAAACTACAGTTGAATATGTTCTCCAGGCCACCCAGACTCCTCAAGAAGAGCGCCCACTAGGCCGTGCTCCGGGACCCTCCCCCAAAGGGCTTCCTCTCCAAGGAGCAGGCAACGGTGGGGAAGGAGGGCCTGCTCCCTCCACGAGAGAGCGGGTGCAGGCATTGGAGCACGGGCACTCTGCGCCCAAGCAAGGCAGAGGGGCTGGGCCACCAGGGCGAGGTGGCTCCTGCCAGTGACAGTGACGACCCAGACTACTTCAGCAGGGGCCTGTGCTCACAAGGAGCTCCGGTTCCCCCAACAGCGCCATTTCGCAGAAAGTAAGGCGAGGCCCAGGTGTAAAGCTAGGGGCTAATTGTTGTCAGACCCCCAAACCTACAACATCTGCTGCTAAGCCTCACTGAGAATAAGCAAAATATCTTCTTTCATATTCTCCCACACTGACAAATTTATACAATGTAGGAGTGAGATTCATTGCACAATGATTTTGAAAGGATATATTAAAAATGAACCTCTTAAATGACCACTGTCTTCTGAAAGAGCCTCTAATGTTCGCGGCCAATCCCAAAAGCACATCTACTTGACCCCCAGTCTACACTTAGCTTGAAACGTCCTGACTTAAGAGAATGTCTGCAGGGTCTGCCCACTGTCCTGTGCCAGGCGGCCTATCTCCACACCCCTCCCTCAGTGCTGAGAGATTCATGTGGACCGTTCGCTTCAACTACAGCCGACATGTGCCCAGTAAACAGGCCACACGTCGTTGACAATTATGTTGAGGTCTTGCCTCAAATTAAGCCAGTGCTCTGTAAACATGTATTTACTGTAGAAAAGAGGAAACCTGAAATCACTTGTGATCTGATCCTTCAGAGACAACCCCTTCTAACAGGCCAGTTCGGGAAGTTTTAACCCTCAGTCAGTACATGGTTTCATGGACTTGAAGACCTTTTCATTTTAACAGTTCTGGATCCTGGAGGAAGTGGTTGCCTGTTGAAGTCATCCTATATAATATAAGGCTAATATGCAAATTGATCAAACGGCAGAATGACCGGTTGCTATGACATGCACTGACCAACACGGGGCAGAAGCTCAACACAGGAGCTGCCTCCTGGTGGTCAGTGCGTTCCCACAGGGGGAATGCTGCTCAGCCGGAAGCCCTGAGCTGGGATCACAGCTGGTGAGTGCAGTGGTGGCGGTGGTGGGAGCCTCTCCCGCCTCCCCTAAGGATGTCCGACTGACGGCTTAGCCCAATGGGAAGTGGGCCTAAGCCATCAGTCAGACATCCCCCAATGGCTCCCGGAGAAGGCACAGGCTGGGCTGAGGAACCCCCTCCAACACCCGGAGTACACGAATTTCGTGCACCAGGCCTCTAGTTCCTTTAATAACTGTTGGGTTCAGAGACTTTTTAGGTGAGTTACAAGGGGAGCCCAGTGCTCCAGACAGTGAAGCAGGCTGCTCTGCGTCTCTGTGGCTACTTCACTGCAAGGGAACCCTTCCCATTGTCATTCCTCCCATTGTTTGTTTTGGAACCAAAGGATGGAGGTGACAAATCATTTCACCTGCCTTTCCCCCCTTTCCTGAGTCCATGCAGAGCATTACTGCTGTGCGGACAGACAAGAGGCACCACCCAAACGCCACACCATGTGAGTTCCAGACCTCTCCGGGAAAATCCTCTGGCAGAAACTCAGATGGCCAGTGGTCTCGGTCACACTGGTTCCCAGGAGAGAAGGACCCATGGAGGCCAGCCTCTCTGGAGGCCTGAGGGCAAGTCCCTGAGCCTATCAGCAAGTGGGGCTCAGTCTCATCAAGAGCTGAAGTGTGAAGATCAGGTGAGTCACAGACACACCTCTGGGGGAACCTCCACAGGGCGCACCTGAGGGATGGCGGCGTGCTCAGTGCCCCCTTCCTCCTGGGTTTCCCACAAGAATAAATCAGTAATCTGGGCTACCTGTCCATGCACTGGCCCCCACTCCTCCTTTGGGAAAGAGAAGCGTGGTGGTGATGGACGCACGCCACGAGAACGTGCTGACAAAGCTCAGGGGACAGTGACAGCCGTCACAAAGAACCTTGTGCTGTGCTGGGTGCCATGTCATTTTGGCGGTAACAGCACTTGGAAAGACCGTCACTAACACCTGGATATCCAAAACAAGATTCCAAAAGTGGGCCCTGAGGGTGGCGGGTAGAAAGTGAATGGCCGTCTTGAACTTTAAGAGCTTTGGACCTCAAGTGGTCACTGTGATGGGGGGAAGGGGCTGCTCTAAGTTTGTGTCCCGCCCAGCCCAGTGACCCAGCCTGCTGCCCCACCGCCCTCAGACAAACACTCCCTGCAACGCTATTTCCACTCGGGCACACCCGAGCAGCTTTCCAACTACGGGCTATGTGCCACTACTTAGAATGGCTGTGGGAAAATGGAAAATAACTGAACTTTGAGCATTTACATGCAAGAGCAACTCTTTTAAAGACAAAAAACTGAATTGCTCTTTCTTATTATCTCCTGTCGTCTAAAGTTGAGCTTTCTCCCCAGATCTGGGAGTCAAGCCTGGGAACATGCTTTCCTGACCATCCTCACATCTGAAGAGTAGGTCTGAGAACCGGGTCCGTTCTCTGCGCTCACCTGTGACGGCATCAAAGAACTCCTCGTCCCCGTTCATCCTCGGCAGCCAGGAGCCCTGCCCCGATCTGCAGTCTCCTACTGAATCATTGCCTGGTCTACATTGACGGTGTCAGGTGCTTCACACGGGGAGCTTTGTGGGGTAAAATCCAATAGGTGGTGCAGATCTAAGGGGAGAAACATTTTGGCATACTTAACTTTCAGAAGTTTTATGGCTTAGAAACATTTTTCAAATACCCATTTGTCATTTTTTAAAATCAATCTCAATTACATCTTAGCAAAGAAATAAAATTAATGATTTAATGACAAATGCATGAGCCTGGCCAGGGACCTCAGTTGGTGGAGCATCAACCCCTACACCAAAAGTCTGTGGTTCGATTACCGGTCAAGGCATATAACTAGTTTGTGGGTTTGATCCCCAGTCAGGGCACATATGAGAGACAACTGATCAATGATTCTCTCTCATATCAGTTTCTCTCTCTCCTATCTTCTCTCTAAAATCAATTTAAAAAAAAAAAAAAAAAACAGGCCTAGCTGGTTTGGCTCAGTGGATAAAACGTCAGCCTACGGCTGAAGGGTCCCGGGTTCAATTCCAGTCAAGGGTTGCAGGCTCGATCCTGGTGGGGGGCGTGCAGGAGACAGCTGATCAATGATTCTCTCTCATCATTGATGTTTCTATCTCTCTCCCTCTCCCTTCCTCTCTAAAATTAATAAAAAATATATATTTAAAACAAAACAAAAAAACATGATTTAAAAAAGAATTTTTAAAAAATCAATGAAAAACAAACAAGCATATCCTCAGTGAGAATTAAACAAAAATATTTTAAAATAACAAAATTTGCCCGGCTGGAGTGGCTCAGTGGTTGAGCATCAACCTATGAACCAGGTCAGGTTCAATTCCTGGTCAGTACACATGTCCAGGTTGCGGGCTCGATCCCCAGGAGGAGGTGGGGGGTGCAGGAGACAACCAATCAATGATTCTCTCTCATCATTGATGTTTCTATCTCTCTCCCTCTCCCTTCCTCTCTGAAATCAATAAAAATATATTTTAAAAATAACAAAATTCATGATTTCAGAAAATATGAGAGGAAACATTTATAATACAAATATCCAACAATAAATAGATCAATAAATAATCATTATTTGAAGAGTTATTTTTATTTTAAAATCTTCATCTACAGCCAAGGTTAGTGGCTCAGTAGTTAGAGCACTGGATTTGATTCCTGGTCAAGGGCACATACCTGAGCTGCTGGCCCTGGTCAGGACGTGTGCGGGAGGCAACCAATCTATGTGTCTCCTTCACATCATTGTTTTTTTTCTCTCTCTCTTCCCCTCTTCGTTCCCTCCCTTCCACTCTCTCTAAAAATCAATGGAAAAAATATCCTCGGGTGAGGATTAACAAAAATAAATTAAAAATAAAACCATCACCTAAGTTGTATAAGAAATGGTAAAACGACTGGCTTGGGACAGTCACATGACCAGGACAGTTTCCATTCCCACATCCGAGGCCAGACAGAGCTCAGGGACTGTGCTGAAGTCTTTCTCAGAACAGGCAGGTGGTTATAAATGAAAAATCATGTTAAAATATTTGTTTCACATCAACAGGAAGCCAATTTTCAATTCTGGAGAAGCTGCTATATAAGTTAGCTATTATCAGCATAAACTGAAATCAACTTAAATTTCCTCAAAATTATTTTGGCTCAGCCCAGCTGGCATGGCTCAGTGGTTGAGTGTCAACCTATGAACCAGAAGGTCACTGGTTCGATTCCCACTCAGGACACATGCCCAGGTTGTGGACTCAATCTCCAGTATGCGGTGTGTAAGAGGCAGCCAATCCATGATTCTCCCTCAAGTCTAACAAATGCACCTTTACGTTTTTCTTAGAAAAACAGATCTAGTCACTTGGGAATCAGGTGACTGGCTAAGAGCTTGCGGACCTGGAGGGTTTATGTCCACAGTCAGCTCACTAAAGAGCAGGGTTTCGCGTTCTTTCTCTTCTCTATAAAAATGGGCAAGGCAACCGGGATGTAATCTTCACGGAGCACGGAAAATTCACCAATGATACAAAAACTCTGGGTCCTCTTTGGAGGTTAACTATGAATTCTGAATTTAAATTGTTCAAAGTAATATAAATTATATATAATAACTTCAAAATGCATTAGCAAGCAACCAGACAGAGGATAAATAAAGAGAGGCCTTCAACAACAAACTAACCCAACATGATCCAGCAGACACATGCAACATATACATTCTCCTCTGGTGCACACGGGACATTCTCCAGGACATGCGAGACCACAGATCCATCTCAGTGGATTTAAAAAGGCAGATATTATACAAAGCATCTTCTCTGACCACAAGAAGATGAGTTATAAATAACAAAAGTAAAACTGGAAAGCCCACAAAACCGTAGAAATTAAATAGCATGCTCTTAAACAGCCCATGGATCAAAGAAGAAATCACAAGGGAAATATCCTCGGATAAGGATTAACACAACAAAAGCAAGGAGGTTGAATCAGTAATAAAAAAGCTCCCAACAAAGAAAAGCCCTGTATCTGATGGCTTCACTGGTGAATTCCACCATTTCAATTGGAAATAACGTCAAACCTCCTCAAAGTTTTCCAAAAAAAACCTGGAGATGGGAAAACTTCCTAACTCATTCTATGAGGCCAGCACAACCCTGACACGAAGGCCACATAAAGACACTACAAAAAAGAAAACTACAGACTTACATCCCTTATGAACATTGATACAAAAAATCCTCAACAAAATACTAGCAAAGTAAACACATTAAAATGCATTCAGCAACACATTCAAAGGATTATACACCAAATGGGATTTATTCCTGGAATACAAGGATCATACGAAGATCAATGTAATACATCACATTAACAGAATGAAAAAAAACAACCCATGATCATCTCAATGGATGCAGATAAACCATTTGACCAACTTCAACACTTCATGATAAAAAACAAACAAACGCCTGCCGAAACTGGTTTGGCTCAGTGAATGGAGCGTCGGCCTGCGGACTGAAAGGTCCCAGGTTCAATTCCGGTCAGGGGCATGTACCTGGGTTGCGGGCACATCCGCAGTAGGAGATGTGCAGGAGGCAGCTGATCAATGTTTCTCTCTCATCGATGTTTCTAACTCTCTATCTCTCTCCCTTCCTCTCTGTAAAAAGTCAATAAAATATATTTAAAAAACAAACAAACAAACAAAAACACACTCAATAAACTAACAATAGAAGGATACTACCAGAACATAATAAAAGCCATAGTTGAAAACTCCACAGGGAACATCATGCTCAAAGGTGAAAGACTGAAAGCTTTTCCTCAAAGTTCAGAACAAGACAAGGATGCCCACTCACCAATGCTATTGATCATAGTACTAGAAGTTCTAGCCAGAGTAATCAGACAAGAAAAAGAAATGAAAGGCATCAAAACTCAACAACAAAAAATAACCTGATTCAAAAAGGGGCAAAGGACTTAAATAGACATTTCATTTCACCAAGGAAGATGCACAAATGGCCAACAGGGTGGCCTTGACAGGCAGGCAGAGGGGACACCAGCCTGACCCTGAGGAGCCAGGGGACCAGCACTTCTGGTTGGGACCTGACAGGTGATGGCCTAGAGCCCCACCATCCACAAGTTTCCCCAAGTCCCTTGCCTCCCCTAGAAACTGATATTCAACAGTGAGCGCCAGAGACACACCAGATACTTCGAGGAACAGGGTCATGAATCTAGAACAATCCAGAACAAAGTGCTTCAGAACCCACACAAGATGAATGGAGGCTCTTCTGCGCAAAGTGTTTGTGTCGATGAACCCTGTCATTCTGTTCTGTAGCAGAGAAAAGCAGTTCCAATGCAGGGAGAGGAAGGAAGCTCAGGGCAGCAGCCCCGCCCACCCAGGCACCATGCACCCTGAGAGCAGTGGAGAAATCAGACCATCAGTAGGGCCACTGCCCACTGCCTGTCCACTTCCGAGAGCAGAACCAGAGCCCTGGACCAGCAGGTGGCGACTGGACAACTGGAAGACCCAGCATTGCAGCCCTAGGGGCAGTGGGAAGCCCTGGGGGTGTGTGGAGCATGCCCACCCCCCACCACCCCACCTCCCACCCCCGTGTCCCCAGTGCCCTGCTGCCCTGCCTGAAGCATCTATGCAGTCAGTCCAGATGCTTCGGATGCCATCTCCATCTGACAGAATCCAGTCTGAGACCCTCGCCCTTCCGCCTGCTGCCTCTCCCACCCCAGGGCCTTCCTTGTCAGAGTTCCACCTGCTCAGCCTCTGAACCAGTTTCACTGAGCTGAGAAACTGGTCACTCTAACATGAGACCTGCCCGCTCACTCCCAACTACACTTCCTGAGCCCTAATGGGGGTGGGGTTTAAACCAAGGTCAGGAAAATCCCTGAATTACTATACCCTCCCCCACAAAGAGAGAAAATAAAAAAGGGAAAATGACAAACTTTTGTTTGTGTTCATTTTTCCCCAGGAAGATGACTCAGACTCTCCACTAGGTTCTCAAAGGGGTCGCTGATCCAGAACAGGGTTAAGACCCCACCAGGGGTTCCAAGCATGGCTGAGGGCATAGCAACGTGGTGGGATGTGCTGCACATCCCCGGGCCTCCCTCCCGAAGCCGCACTTCTTTCTTTCTTTCTTTCTTTTTAAAAATATATTTTTATTGATTTCAAAGAGGAAGGGAGAGGGAGAGACACATCAATGATGAGAGAGAATCATGATAGGCTGCCTCCTGCATGCCTCCCACTGGGGATCAAGCCCGCAATCGGAGCATGTGCCCTGACTAGGAATCAAACCGGTAACCTCCTGGTTCATGGGTTGACGCTCAACCATTGAGCGACACCAGCCGGGCCAAAGCCCCACTTCTTATGAGGTTCCGAGCAGCCAGGTGAAAACCCTACAAAATCAGCCAGGGACCTTCTACCCTGATGAGCATCATCAGTCAACCCCATGCATACAGAACTGCCTTAAAAACAGAACCGTGGCAACACTGGGGGCTGCACCTGCACAGGAAACCACATCCCCTCCCTCCTCACTACCTGCTCCGCAGGTGGTATAACATTTCCCACGCTGATTTCTCTGTGGAATCCCAGCACTCGGAGCCTAACTCACCCCCAGCTCAGTACAACGTGGCCCTGGCCCTTCTCCTTCAGTGTCAGACAGGTGCCTGTTAACATCTGCCACCACTGCAGTCCTTAAAGCTTCTGCAGGGACATCAGATCACACAGCCACCCTGATATTAGGGCACTAGTGGAAGTCACTTTCCAGCCAAGCCCAGTGTACAGGTGCCAGATGACAGCTGACTTTTCTCTCTCAGCCTGGGAGCAGCCTCCGTTGGTTCAGTGGGACACACAGCTCTCACCCTGTGTGTCACAGCCTGCCCTCCCCGCTGGCTGCCATCGTCCTCTCTGGAACCTGAAGTCAGGACAACTTCCCCACAAACCATCCTCAGACCATTCTCCCCAAGCACCTGACACCAGCCGGGAACAAGCTTTTCCTGGCACCTTTTAAGGCTAGTGCTTCCACCCTCTGGTCAAGGTACCAGACAGGTCTGCCCAACCAAGAGCCACTCAGTGGTTCCCATGTCGGCATGACTCAATAGAGCTGTGGGAGGGAGGTGCCCAGGTCAACAGAAGCGCACCTTCCCTCTGCCCTCCTTCTCAGACCCGCTGCGGGACCAGGGTTAGCTCAGCCAGCACAATCCCAGAGTCCACGTCTCAAAACAACCCGAAAGATTCCACTGACACGCAGAGAAAGAAGGACCGACAGACGCAAACACCAGGCAGAAGTCTACAAGCATCCCTGCTGCTCACAGTCCTTTCCCAAGGCGGACTGCACTGTTCAGCTCAGGGCACAGGTCAGAGTACTTGTGTGACCAGAAGGTCCCAGTGACAGCACGAGATGCTCTGAGATTCTGCCAGGGGACCCTAAGTTCTTTTCTGAATTTGGATAGAAAAGGAAAGAAGCGCCATGATGTAACGGGCACGGCTAGGTGACCATTTAACCACATGGTCATTAAGGAGAGCTGCGGGCATGGGTGGGTCCTCCACACCATGTATCCACGGTGGGCTTGACCCTGGCAGGGCCAACACCAGAGATTTACCATCAAAAACACTTTGAAAACATAAAATTATAGCAGAGATACAAATTAACCACTGTCCACAGAAACTGCATTTAACGTGTCGAACTAGTCCCTGAAATATTAACTCTTAGGATTTAAATATTTCTTAATATTTAAGTCATGTTCAAATACTAACTTCCATTCAGTCTCAATAAGCTCAAGACCAACCTTGAAGTGCACTGAGTTTCAGAATCAAGCCTCGCCCTTGTTAGTGCTCAACTCTACTGTCCTAGCCGGTTTGGCTCAATGAACAGAGCATTGGCCTGTGGACCGAAGGGTCCCGGGTTCGATTCCAGTCAAGTACCTTGGTTGCTCCTCCCCTGCCTGGGCCGTGGTTGGGGCTCGTGCAGGAAGCAACTGTCGATGTGTTTCTCTCATATCAATGTTTCTCTCTGTCTTTCCCTCTCTCTCTTCCACTCTCTCTAAAAATCAATGGAAAAATATCCTTGGGTGAGGAATAGAAAATAAATAAACTCTATGAACGTCAGCCTTCCAGCAGGAAGTACGGCAGTGACCAGGAGACAGCCACACCCCCACTGTCCACATACTGTCCAGGGCCTCAGCTGAGTGACTGTGGGTGCTCATGGGTCCAGGGGTCTTTTTATAGTCGTTCTTATAAAGTGTCACTGTAACATTCAATAGAATGCAAACCTGCCTAACAAAGATTTATGTGGCTTCACTTCTAAATTGAATTTTTGTGGGTGTCTATGCGTCACTATTGGGTGGGGTCAATTTCAATGCTCTCAGGTCAGTGACTGAAGGTGAACTGGGCACCTAGTACAACACCAGACACTCCCTTACATTTTCTTCACATATATTCCACACAATAACCCATTTTGCGGGCAAAGTTAGAAAGTGAGGGAGCCGGAACCCGAGAGCTCCCAGCCTGGGCTCGCCCCTCTGATCTCCAGGAAGATTCTTAACCTCTTGAATGGAACACGTTAGTCACGTTGGGCCCATTGTCACAGCTTTCCTGCAAATACATAAGCTCTATAAGCCTATGTACATCACAGCCAAACCCCAGGAAAAGAGGCGGCCTTGGCTTCTCATGGGAATACCAAAGCTGTCATATGCAAGAGACAGTTAATTCCCTGTTGGAAGATAGTATAAAAGTACATAAAATGTTTCAAAACTTGCCCCACCAAAAACAAAAGAAGTGTTACTTATGTAATTAGCTGGGTGTGATACAATGGGAAAGTTGAGCAGCTTTTTAGCACAGATCCTATCTAGGACTCATTTGCTGGCGTGTGCTGGAGGGCATGGATGGGGTCTAGGATGAGAAGCAAGTGGCACTCACTTCTTAAACACTAAAGTAACACTGCGCATCGAAATGTCAAGCAGATAGGAGTCTGAGCCCTAAATGCAGATGAGAGGAGGGCAGGTGCCTCGTGCACACTCAACAGCCACCTGCATTAAGCTCGCTCAGAGCCGAATCCCCAAGGGCAACCTTGTCCTTTACACTGTGGACATCCATCGTCACCCCTGCTCCTCCAACTCCCCCTCCCACCACGAACAGGAATGACTTCACTACTGACTACGGCAAGGGGCTGTGGCTGAATGTGGGACAGCACGATAATCACTTTATGTCATTTTTTTCCTCAGTCTGTTTATTCTAAGTTATGATATTATTTTCACCGTGAATCACTTTATTTTAGAAGAAATAAAATGGTTTTATAAACATTTGTGCTCACAAAAGAATGACAATCGATTATCTCTGTGGCAAGAAACAAAGTTCGGACACACTGTAATGCAGCACAATTAGAATGTTTTAAAGGAAAATGGCGAGGGGACATTGTAAATGAAAATTTTGGTTTTAAAAGGCTGTATAGAGAGGAATTTAAGAGTGTGAACTTCGGCCCTAGCCAGTTGCTCAGTGGTTAGAGTGTCAGTCCGCAGACTGAAGGGTCCCGGGTCCGATTCTGGTCAAGGGCACATCCCTCAGGGCGCGTGGGAGGCAACCTATCAATGTGTCTCTCTCACATCGCTATTTCTCTCCCTGTCTCGGGAGAGGATTAACAGCAACAACAGAAAAGAGTGTGAACTCCAGAGCCAGACTGCCTCCCTGCTCCATAACTCACTGCTGCGGGATGCAGAGTAAGTTACTTAGCCTCTCTATTCCTCAGCTTCCACGTGAGTGAACGGAGGCTCGTGTCAGTACTGGTCTTGCAGGTTGTTGTGAAGACCACGTGGATGAAGCAACTATAAGGTGCTTCTGGCCATCCTGGAACAACTGCTACATGTCATCATCACCTCAGGTAAGAGCTGCTAACAGGGGGGCACAGAAGGCAAACAGGAAAGGTAAATTCTACTGAGAAGATCCATCTGTTTACTCTTCACTCACTGTCCTGTTTTAAATGACACCAGCTCCGGCACCCAGGGCTTGTCAAGGAGGAAGTGTAGCCAGTAAGTTTCCTGTCCTCAGCAAGGGAGAGGGAACTAACGATTTGGAGCATCTGCCATGTGTCAGGGCCTGCTGGGGGCATCATTACATCTGCTTCTCTCATCAGCCCCACCAGGTGGGGGTACCTGTCACATGGGGCCAGGAGAGATGGCAAGCCCAGCAGAGTCAGGAGGGCCTCTGCTCGCTCGCTGTGACCTGTCATCTCCGGGGACACAGGCAATGAGACCCATCTCCAGATGGGCACGGGCAGGCCCAGCAAGGGGCTAACGCAAGAGCTGTGGGCTCCTGGTCCAGAGCTTGTCCTAGACCAGTGATGGCGAACCTATAACTCATTTTTTTGGTTGATTTTTCTTTGTTAAATGGCATTTAAATATATAAAATAAATATCAAAATATAAATCTTTTTTATACTATGGTTGCAAACATCAAAAAATTTCTATATGTGACACGGCACCAGAGTTAAGTTAGGGTTTTTCAAAATGCTGACACGCCGAGCTCAAAAGGTTCGCCATCACTGTCCTAGACTGACCCTTCGGGATAAACCCCCAAAACCTGAGCACAGCTTCCTGGGAGGTGACCCCCTCACTCAGGAGCGACCCCAACTACCTAACCACCTAGCTTCTGGGCTCACCAGCTTACACAATCACCGGGTTTTTGATCAACTGTGGAATTCAACTCAGAGCAGGAAGGAACCTTGGAAAACCGGTCTCTATCTGTGCGTACAAACTACCACGTGCAAGTCCTACTCTCCCGGTCGCCGCGTTAACTGTGAAGGAGGGAACCCTTTAAAATCTGATGGCATATCTAGTTGAGCTAACATGCGCGCCAGGTAGGAGCTCCCCACAGGCCGTGTGGTCTGCTATGGTGACAAACGAAAAATCAGACAGAGCAGGGTCGGGGGTGGACACGGGCACAAGCCTTCCGCGAGAGGTCTCCACCGGTGGCCGCCCCCGGAGGGGCGGGGTCTCCAGCCGCGGGGACCGACTTCTCACCTCAAATATGCGAGTGAAGCCAGGGGTCCAAATGCCCCGCGGCCGGCGAGCCCACCGTATGGATGACCCCGACAGCGACAGAGGCCGGCAGGCGCCCCGGCCTCCGAGTTCACCCCGAACCCGACTTCCGGCTGCGGCGGCAGGTCTGGCTGGGGCCACAGTTGCCTGGCGACGCGGGGTCTCGGCTGCCGCCCGGGACCTAGGCCCAACGCCCCGCCACCAGCGCCAACTTTCCTCCCAAGTTCCCTCGCGGCCGAGACTCCAGGGCCGGGGCCTGCTCGCCGGGGGGTGGGCGCCGGGCTCCGGCTACCCGGGCCCGGTCCGGCCTCCCCGCCGCCCAACCGCCCGAGGCCGGGAGCCGTTCCCGGCGATGCGGGTTCCGGGCCGGGGTCCGGGCTGGGTCACTCACCTGGACCGCGGTCCGTCCGGCGGCCGCCTAGTCTCGCTGCCCGCCCCGCCCCGCGCGACCCACTGACACCGAGGCGGAAGTGCGGCCGGCCGCCCCGCGGACTGACAGCCCGCGCCAGCCACTTGAGGCGCCCCGCGCCACCGCGTAGACCGCCGCCTGCCCAATCAGTGCTCGACCCGAGAGCAGCGCTGGGAGGCGGGACTATACTAATCACTTCGCTGGAGTGACACCTTCTACGCCCCTCGAAGGTCCCGCCCATATGGAGGAGTGACGACTCGAATAACCAATCATAGCATGGAGAGGCGGGGTTATGCAGATATTGACCCGAAGAGGGCGGGCGAGAGGTAGGAAGGGGCGAGGCTTGGAGAGCTGAGTTTACAAACAGCGAGTCAGGTGTCTGGCGCGGGCTCTGTGCCCAAGGCTCGCAACTCCCTAGGGCGGGCGGTGCCTCCGTCAACTCAAGCATCTTCAGGCCTCCCCATCGCCCAAACTCCTTGGCATGCCCTTCACTGCTCAGCAAAACCCGGCGCCTATTTATCCTTGGCTTCATTCCTGACCGTTCCCTCTCCTGTTTAAAATCTTTGGAAGTTCCTGACCTCCAGTGGCTCCATGGTTAAGCCCAGGAGCTCTGGAGTGAGACCCCAGCTTGCATCCTTACTAGCTGTGTGGCCTTGAGCTTATGAGCACCGCAATTTTCCTTTGCAAATCAGTGTCTCCCACCCTCCTCCATTTGAGTCTTGGGTCTGATTTGGGGTGGGTGGAGTAACATGAACCAGGCTGGCTCAGGGGTGAGCAGGTGACCCTGTACTGGCCAAGGAGGGTCAGTCCTGGGGTTTTTGCTGGAGTTCAGAGAGCTCAGGCCAGAGGGATGGCTGAGGTCAAATGACTCTCCTATCTGCTCACAGACCTTCCCAGAATTGAGGTAGGTGACAGAAAGATGTAAGTATGGAGCTACTGAAGCATCCCGTCACCATGAATGGAGGGAGCACCTGAGAATGAAGCCAACCCAGAGGAAACAAGAGCAAATACCCTGAGTCACCTGGGACCAGCCGCACCTTAAGCATGCTCTATTCTAGACTTTTCAGGTATCTGGCCAGCTACCTTTCCTTCCTGCTGAAGTCAGTGAATAGACCCCCAGAGCACTGCTGGTCCCCACGATCACAGAGTGCATCCTGAAGGCCCTGCTCACCCGCTACCTCTCCTACAAAGCCAGCCCCAGTTGGGCCTCTGCACTCCCTCCTCAGAATGTGTTTCTCCACTTGCAGCAGTGGAGAATGACACACAGGTTGCTCCCAGCAGGACAAGGGTGCCTGGGGGTCAAGAGCAGGCCTTAGTGGCAGACGCTGGTGCTCCCTGTAAACATCAGGGCCAAGGGGAGTGGCCAGGGCCTCTGTAGCAAGGGTGGAGCTCAGGCAGCATTTCTGGGACGAGAAAGCCAGCCGTCCCCATCCCCAGGCTGGGCCAGCTCACTGGTGGGCCCACTGTCAGCCGCTGCTGGAGAAGAATCCCTCCCAGCCTCTGCTGCTGAGAGAAACCAGAGGGAGGCGGGGCTGGGCCTCAAAAACAAAGGTGTTTCCATGGTTACCCTTGAAGAAACCGACTGCAGCAGGAGAGGGAAGGGTATGGAGGGCATGCCGGCCCCCAAGCCCGGACAAGGACAAGGCCAGTTGCCAGGGAGATGCTTGCAGCTTCCCTTGCAGTCCTGGCCCTGACCCATCAGAGTCCTGGAAAACCACCACCCCACCCTCCACGACCCTCACCCTGACTAGTCCCTAAGGCTCTGACCCTCATTCAAAGGACAGGCCATAGCCCGGCCAGTGTGGTTCAGTGGTTGAGCATCAACCTATGAACTAGGAGGTCACAGTTCGATTCCCAGTCAGGGTATATGCCAGGGTTGCGGGCTCAATCCCCAGTGTGGGGCATGCAGGAGGCAGCCAATCATTGATTCTCTGTCATCATTGATGTTTCTATCTCTCTCTCTTTCCCTTCCTCCCTGAAATCAATAAAAATGTATTTTTTAAAAAAAAGAAAAAAAGGACCGGCCCTAGAGAGGCTCAATCTATCAGCCCAACCCTTAGCCATGAACTTGGAGGTGAGTGAACTGGGGCCAGAGGAGAAGCTGGGGTCCAGTGAGCCTCCAGTCTGCCCATGGATCACCCCACGCTACCCCCTTTAAACAGAGGCAATATGCTGGGTTCCCAACCGCTGCTGCCTCCTCCTGGCCCTGAGGCAAGGATTGGGTGGGAACCCTCCCTCAGTTGGAGGCTGGAGGGAAGGTTCCTTGGGACCAACTCAGGGACATTTTCATAATCTTTGCTAGATGAAGAGGCTAATTCCAGAGGCAAGATTCTGCAGGAGTGGGACGAAGGACAGGAGCAGAAAAGGAGACAGAGGTTTGGGCCATGCAGTAACGACATGACAACAGTGACAGCTGATATTACCCAGGGCCTGTGATTTACATGCCTCATCCAGTTTCATGTTTGCAACAGCCGACCGAGTAACCACTATGTGTCACATTCCCACTTTTCAGATAAGCAGACGACTGGGCCTGCTCTGCGGAAGTAGCCCCTACACGTCCCAGACCAGGATCTGCACCTGAACAAGATGCCCAGGTGCTCCTGGGTGGCTGAGACCTTAGGGGCCTCATGGGTCACGATATCAACCGACTGATGACCTGCTACATAGTGGGGGGTCATCACAGTGCCCCCTTCCATCCTGACCATTGGGTCTGGCTCAGGTCCCAGAGTCCTCTCAGGACCCCAGGGACCCATCCGTATGTGGTCCCCAGAGCTTGAGACATGCTGGTCTAATCATTTTGTGGTGACTACTTCCACCAGAACTACTCTCAGACCAGGCCAGCCCCAAGAGGGAACCCCACAGTCCTGCCAGTCTGTGACTCCCTAGGCAGGGATGATTGGAGCCTCCCTATCACAATTCCTTCTGAGTCAGAATCAGGGACGATCATGGACCATGACCCCGCTGAAGGCAGCCAGCGGACCCTGTGGGCTGAGGCCTGGCTGCTGGGGTCAGAGGTTCCAGCCACATGGAAACGCATGCGGGGCTTTGCCCCGAGAAAGCACATTCACAGGCATCATCCTCAAGGAGGCTGAGCAGAGGCAATTGCTCCCCACTTTGGATGGGGAAACTGAGGCTCAGAGAGTGGAGCAGCCTGCTCAGGGCCATACAGCAGAGCAAGTCAGCAATGCCAGCCCTGCCCATCACCCGCTGCCCTTTCCCCAACTCCACTCCTACCTTCTCAGCAGGTTTCTGGGCCTGAGCTGATGTCTTATCTCTGTCTGTGGCCAGAGCTGCCTCCTGCGCTCCAGCAGGGCTGGGCATCCAAGAATGCTGGGGCCCGGCATTGCTGACCCGGCCTTTGCCCCGGGGAGCCTAGCCTGAGGCTCACTTCTCTCCCTGCCACCCCCACTCCCTTCTGTGGATTGCTGGGGAATCTGCTACCCGGTGCAGCACAGGGCGGTGGCCACTGCAGCCTGGCCCTGCCCCTCACGTGGCCCAAGCTGATCCTTCCCACACAACTTTCTAATCTGTGCAACGTGACAGTGCTTGGCGCCCTGTTGTCGGAAGAGAGTATTTTTAGTGTTGAACCCACCACCTGAAGAGAGACAACTTATCAATAGCAGCCTCAAAGGGCTTTTCTTTTTTTCCCCATGGCTTCGGGACCTGAGCAATCTGCACCCATTAAATTCTGCCAACTTTTTAAAAAATATATCTGTATTGATTTCAGAGAGGAAGGGAGAGGGAGAGAGAGATAGAAACACCAGCCGAAACTGGTTTGGCTCAGTGGATAGAGCGTCGGCTTGCGGACTGAGGGGTCCCAGGTTCGATTCCGGTCAAGGGCATGTACCTGGGTTGCGGGCACATCCCCAGTAGGAGATGTGCAGGAGGCAGCTGATCGATGTTTCTCTCTCATCGATGTTTCTAACTCTCTATCTCTCTCCCTTCCTCTCTGTAAAAAATCAATAAAATATATTTAAAACAAAAAAAAAAAGAAACCCCAATAATGAGAGAGAGCCCGGCTGGCATGGCTCAGCAGTTCAGCGTGGACCTATGAGCCAGGAGGTCACAGTCAGGGCACATGCCTGGGTTGTGGGCTTGATCCCCAGTAGGGGGCATGCAGGAGGCAGCCGATCAATGATTCTCTCTCATCATTGATGTTTCTATCTTTCTCTCCCTCTCCCTTCCTCTCTGAAATTAATTTAAAAATTAAAAATTGGGAGACTTTTCTATGAAATGTTTTGTAGGATGCTGGAGTGGCCATCCACCCTGCTGGGGGGCATTTGAGCCAACTTGGCTGCCTGCCCTTTAGAATTAGTTAGAGCTACAGGCAGGTAAGTTACCAGGCATCATCAGGGACCCGGTTTCTATATTATTGTACCACCTTTCTAGTGTTGGGTCCCATTCTCATTGTCACCTCATGGCCCAATATGGCTGCTTGTGCTCCAGCCATCACGTGTGCATTTGACCAGGAAGAAGGAGACGGGGAAAGAACAAGGACTGGGCTGACCACTAGGTGAGTCAGCTCCCTGGTGTGTCTGTCCCTGAAGATACACCAAGCACTTCTGCTGACATCTCCCTGGCGAGACCTTCATCCCGTGCTGTTATTGGTGCAACAGCAGCATTTTGCTGAGTGTGCTGCCAGCCTGAATAACACAGAGGACTCAGGGGAGAGGATCATGGGAGGCTACTTGTCAGAGGACCTGTGCGGACCCCTGAGCCTATGGCTAGGCCTGCCTTTGGCCTCCAGGTGTCCTCCAGTTTTGGCCAGGGCAGGCCAGGACACCTCTCAAGATGTGGGTTCACCACCACTGCCTGGGAAGTGGGGCGGTGCCAGGTGCAAGGCAGAACTCTCAGCTCTCAGGCCCTGACACCCTTGCCACACAGACTGGGCCCTACTGTGCTCCAGCAGCCTGTGGGGTGGAGCCTCCGCACGGTCCCGACCGCTGAAGCACTCGTGGCTGTGCCCTGAGCGTGGTTTCCTCTCAAAGTGCCTGCTGAGCACCTGCTGCCCTGCTGGCCCTGCGTGGGGCAGGTGTGCGCCCCCGTGAGCAAACTCAGACCCAGGGGCCACAGGGCAAGGAGGGGGCTCTGCTCTTCTCTCTCCACCCTTCCCAGGGGTTCTGGTGGTTGTAGGCACATCCGAGCAGGGACCAGTGAGGCAGGAGGGAGCGGGAAGGTTTTAACTTTCCAGATGGGGCTAGGCCTGGTACAGGGGTGGAGTGGGGTGAAGGGGGAGTTTAAACATACCTGGGGAGTGGGGGTGGGGAGAGCAGTGTGAGCCACGACTCTCGGCCACTTACTGGCCACACACACTCATACAACAAGTGCACACAAGAAACAGCTGTCCTCTGGCAGGCAAGACGGGGTGGGAGCTCAGCAGGTGGAGGGCTGGGGGGTCATGGGTGTGTCAGGGCTGGGGTACCCCGAAGCAGCCCCTCCTTTAGCCTTACCGGGGCTTTGCTTAGGAGGCCGGTGGGTCTGGGAAAGCTTTTTATTTTTTTATTTTTCAAAATATATTTTTATTGGTTTCAGAGAGGGAGATAGAAACATCAATGATGAGAGAGAATCATTGATTGGCCGCCTCCTGCATGTCCCCCACTGGGGATCGAGCCCGCAACCCAGGCACGTGCCCTTGACCGGAGTCAAACCGGGGACACTTCAGTCCGCAGGCTGACGCACTAGCCACTGAGCCAAACCAGCCAGGGCTGGGAAAGCTTTGTAAACAAAGCCCATCACTTTCCCCAGGGCCGTGGGGGAAAACTTAGGTGGCCCCACTGTGACAGTGTGGAGGGCAGGGTGGGGACTGGTGGCAGGGCCCCCACCTCCATCCCTGGCAGAAGCACCCGGGCTCTGGAGGGTGGGGTAAGAGACAGCGGGCACTTGGGTCCTTCTGGGGATAGGCATGCTCCCCCTTCCATCATTCCATCCACGGGAGAGGAAGGCAGAGCAGGGGAGGGGGGGACAGCCACAATCAAGGGGACAGCCAGTCAGAGCAGTTGCCAGGCACACCCCAGATTTGCCCTCACAGTGGAGGGGTGAGAGGGGGCCCAGCAGGCTGGACTATGGGCTAGGAGTGTCAGGGCACACGGGGCTGCAACCTGGGTGGTTCGGTGGGGCTCTGTGCTCAATTGACTGCTCTGCTGTCACCATTTGAAATTCTTAACTTAGGGCCCCCAGTTCTGTAGCCATCCTAAGTGAGGCGGGCTCAGTGCAGGACTCGGGGCCCATGGGTGCTGCTCTCCAGTTTCAGGGCTTCAGAAGCTGCACACCGCCAGCTAGGGCTCTGACCCTCCAGGAGGGTAGCAGGCTGGCGAGCAGGCCAGGTTGTTCTGGGGACAAGGCAAAGGGGCTGATGAGAGGCCTCATGCTAGGCAGTTTGCCAGCACTGCCCCAGCCCAGGAAGGCAGTCTACCAGGGAATCCCACAGCCCGGGCTTGGGGACCCTCAGGGCTGGATCCTCTCCAAGGTACCTCCTGAAGGCAAAGCTAGCCTGGCACCTCCAATCACTCACTAGCCTCAATAACATGACCTTCTGGGTTCCTAGTCAAGCTGCATATAGTAGGTGCTCAATACATGCCTGCAGGAGGTGGGTGGGATGATCTGATCTGGGCAGAGGACCAAGGGTTGGATGGAGCCAGCAACCGCATGCAAGTCCAGGCTCTGCCACTTGCTAAGTGAGGTCTCAAGGAGCCTGTTTCCCCAGGGCTTGGTGAGGCCATGGAAGTCAGGCATGGAAAGCCCCTGGTAGAGGAAGCCCATACAGGATGGACTTGGGGGGCAGAGGACATGGAATTGGGCCCCCTGAAAAACATCTGGTGCTCTGGCCAGCATCCACCCTGTCTTCTAGGAACAACCCCAAATTCTCCAGTGGGGACCCCCACCTCATCCAGGCTGACCTCACTTCTAGCTCCAGACAGGGGCACATGATGGCACCTGGCACATCACTGCATCACTTTGGAATAATTGGTCATGCCATGGGCTTGGGCACAAGGTCCTGCATCTGATCTGGGGCTGAGAGCTGTGGAATGTCAGTCTGGAAGTGCCACCCGGAGGGGACAGCTGTGTGAGCGAGGAGCAGGCATGCACCAAGGGCTGAAAGACAGGCTTTGATGAGAGTTACTGGGTTCCTGGATCCAGCCATGCCTGAAGGAGATACACCATCAGTGTACTGTCAGATGTATGCCCCGTTGAACCGCGGTTTCTATGCCCTCTTCTCCACACGTGAGGAGCATAGCCACCTGTTTGGACAGGCCTCTGAACCCCTCCTCCGCCATCAGGACATCCCAGGCTGGGACCACCCTCCAGATGGCACACAGGTGAGTCACTCAAGGACAGACTCCAGGAAGCCCCGGATGTTTTCACCAGGTGGCTCTTAGCCACTAGCTCACCCAGTGCTGCACCGTGCACAGATGGGAAACGGGCCTCGGGAGGAGAGGAGCCTCCCCGTGGGCCTCATTACTTGCCACAAGGGCGTTTCCAGCTCTGCCGGAAGCAGCTGAGCAAGTTTAGAAAATGTGAGAGGAGTGCGCAATGCCAGGAAAAGGTGGGCCCAAGCCGGTCTGGCAGGGTGTGGGGGAGAGGGTGGTGAGTCCCACCGGAGTGGCAAGCTGCCCTTTACCCAGGGCCATAGGGAGAAGGTAGGTGGCCCCTCTGGGACAGTGTGGAGGGCAGAGCTCTGGTCTGGGGCTGAGGGCTCAGACTCCATGTCCTTAGTCCACCCAGAGCTGCACTGTCGGCCCCCGCCCTGGCCATTGGTTTCCCGGCTGCCGGTGAGAGGGACAAAGGCACAAAGCCACTTGGCCAGGCAGGTCCTGAGCCAACAACCAGCCTCCTCAGCAAAGCCCGGCAAGGCTGAAGGAGGGGCTGCTCCGGGACCCCCCAGCCCTGCCACATCCTTGACCCCCAGCCCCTCTACCTGCTGAGCTCCTGCCCGCCTTGGCCTGGTGGCCCCATGCATCCAGGGTCTGCCAGGAGGGACAGCTTGTTTCCCGTTTGGTTGCTGTATGAGTGTGTGTGGCCAGTGAGTGGCTGAGAGCCGTGCCCAGACCCAGGGGAGGGGCTGATTCGGGAGTAATCACTTGACCTCTGGCCTGGCCCACGAACTGGTCCTACAGCCGGGGCCCTGTGGAGGGGACAGCTCTCTGACTGGCCTGTCCCCACAGGGAGGAAGGAAGACAAGTACCGCTCCTGGCCCGAGTCAGAAATCCACCCACAGAGACACACACACCGACCCACAGACATGAGAACAGCCAGACACACAGCCAGACCCACATGCCACATGCACAAAAATGCACATACATAGACACACCTATAGGCAGACAGACACACATATTCATAAACAGAGACACACACACAGCTGGCCCTGCTCCTGGGGTCGCCCCAGGCCCCCTGCTTTCTCCCTCAAGACCTCAGGGATGTCTTCATTAGTTGGATCCCACGCCCCTGACACTGAGACAGTGGCTCATTCTTTATTTTCCTGACAGGCACAGGCTCTCCGAGGAGCTGCCCTGAATCCCCAGGGTCTGGGGGAGTAACAGAGGAGAGTTGGGGCCAGGCTCTGCCTCCTGCAGGAAGCAGCTCTCTGAGTGGGGCCCTCCTTCCAGCCCCTGGGCTCCCCTAAAGGCTGCCTCTAGGAGAGTAGCCCAGGGTGACATGTGGGGTCAGGTGCTGCTCCTTTGCCCAGGGGATGGGACTGGGCACACGCCACAGGCACATTCACATGCAGGAGCATATGCGCGGTCTGGGCCCCAGCACAGAACAGCACGGGCAGGACTGCAGAGACCTGGAGTAGTCCTGAAGGTTCCGAGAGGCGAGGTGGGAAGGGGTCAGGTGGGCTGATCCTGACGGGCGAGGCTGGGGGTTACCAGTGTGTGTGCTGGGAAGAGGCATGCAGGCTGGGCTGGGCTGGGGCCCTGACCAGGTCAGGGTGGGGTCTGCACAGTGGATCAGGTCACCAGGCCCAGTTCACCTCATCAGCATTGTGATCAGGGCCACCCAACCTGGTCACCGCCGGAGAGGCCCAGTGCAGGACAGGAACCCCAGAGGGAGGGCGAGGCTGTGGATGGTCAGGCTGCTCCAACTCGCTGTGATGGTGGCACTGTGGGCAGAGGGCTCAGAGCAGGGATGCACTCCGGTGGGGGCAGGACCTCCAAGGGCAGGCAGCTGGCAGCCAGCAATGGGCCAGGAGCTGGCCAAGAGTCCAGACAAAAGAATGGCTTGGCCACCACCCCAACCAAGGCTGAGGGCAGGGAGCTTTGGGCCTCCCCTGGGGGGTCCCCTATAGAGCTCTCAGTGCCCAGGCCCAGTGCCCAGGCTCCTCAGCACTGCCAACAAAGATACTGTTGGGGGAAGGGCAGACAGAGGCTCCTCACAGGACCCCCAGGGCAGCTGCTGGGGAGAACTATGGCTCCACCTGCCTGACAGCCTCCCCTCCAGCCACAGGGGTGGTTCAAATGACACTGACCCAGGACCTAAGACCCACACTTCTTCTCGCTCAAGTCAGCCACCAGGATTGTGTGAGCAGGGCTCACTCTGGGTGCGGCTGGCAGCTCCCCTTCTTCTTGGCGAGTGAAGGGAAAGTTAGGAGAACCGCGGAGCTGCAGGGAGAGGGCTCAGGGAGAAAGTCCTGCTGGGAATGAGGTGAACACAGGGAAAGACAGGGGGAAAGAAGCAGCTGTCTCCGCCCCTGGATGCAGCTGTGCCTGAAGCCCATTTCCTGGATGCTCCAGCCGTGGACAACACGAAACATTCACTTCCTGAAGCCTCTTTGAGTTGTAGCCAAACCACAGCAACTGAACCCCTGGCTCTCCTGTCCTCTCTCGCCTTCCTGCCATCTGGGCCCTAGGCCCAATTCAGCCCTGACCCTCAAGGCAGGGAAATCAGACATGGCTTTTATTTCAAATCTGTGGCATCAGGATCCATTCTGATCACACCCGAACTCTGAGCTCATCAGGATGCACCCATATCTGGCTCAGAATGTCACTAGGGAAAAAAAGGCAAGGAACAAAAAAAGAAAAATCTGCATTTCCTTATTTAAATGAGCTGCCGCGGAAGGAGAAAGCAAACATTGGTTCCTTCAGAGGGTCACAGCACTGACCCTGGAAACGTGCCTGGGCCATACTGGCAGGACAATTGCCGGGCAGCTGGCCTTGGCCTCCCGGCTCCTCTCATTATTTCTCATTTTGGGCCATGTCCCCACGCACAGGGCAGAACACTGCGGGGGCAGCTGTGGGCCTGCAGTTGGTTGGAGGAGAAAGGTTTTTCTAGCATAGTGAGAGCGTGGAGGCACAGCCTGCTGCCCGTGACAGCGCCCGACACACAGGACGTGCAGAAGCACAGGACACATGGGACAGTGTTTTGCTGGCCTGACACTGGTCACCCCAACTTTGTGTCTCCAGTGCAGAGCTCCCCTGGCCCCAGACCCAGAAGGAACAGGGCAGGCCGCTGCCGGCCCAGGCTCTGGTTCCAGGCCCGGGACTGGACCCTGGGGGGCCTAACAACTTCCCCGCCAGAATGTCCAATTGGCATCAAGCTCGACACACTCCTATCAGCACTCCATCATCCCTCAGCCCGCTCCACCCACAGACTCCCCGGCTCATTCCTGTCAGCGCCATCCTCTGAGATGCCTGAGCCAAAACCCTGGAGTCAGCCTTGACCTCTGTCTCCCATACCTCTCATATGTCAGCTTCAGAAGATACCCATGTGCCCAGGTAAGAGTGCACCCCCTGGGGAGGGGACCGCTAACCCTGCAGAGCCCAGAGGGTGGAGGCACAATTTCCCCAGAGGGTCGCTGGGAGGGGCCAGGGGCCCAGTCCCGCCTCCACCCCAGCCCCGGTGCTCAGCTGTCCTTGTTGGAGATGCGGTGCTGTGTACTCCTGTTAGACTGCACAGCGGGTGGTGCCCACCTGTGTCCTGTGAAGCAAGTGGCTCCAGGACAGTGTGTCAGGCAGTGCAACCAGTGCATCCTTGTCTGGGAAGTGGGCCCCAGGCCGTGTGGGATTCCACACCTGGATGCTGGTGCAGCCTCGCGGGCAGGGGTCAAGCCCACACCTGAGCAGGTGTGTGAGGAAGGGCCCAATGTGGTCAACTCGCCACCAGGTGGCAGTTTCTCCTCCTGGAAAACATGCCACAGGGGGGCGCGGCCTGGTTATGTGGTGGGTGGGGTGGACATTCAGAGGTGGCAGTAGCCAGATCAACCTGGGGAGGTGGGAGTCCACGCTCCTGGTCCCAGCAGGGCCTCCAGCATGACCTCCTCATGCCAGTTCTGGGCGGCCTGTGCCAGGGGCCTGCTAAACCACCTCTTCCTGATGGAAGCTTCCCGGGAGGGCCTTCACGCTGGGGCCCACAATCACGTGTCCACCCACATGGCTCCAGCCCCAAACCCCTTGTCTCCACCAGGTCCTTGTCCCTCCCGGCCCTGACCAGCCCTCCAGGACTTTGGGCACTGCCCCTGAACGCGTAGATATTCTCACTTGGGCCACTTTTCCGTCCACACAAGGTACAAGACCAGGAGCTTCAAGTCCCACCCACTGGGAAGATGTGTCCTTTGCCTCAGCAGCAGACCCCAAAGGCCAGACTGCCAGCAGGGGCTGTCAGCTCACCTCAGCCCACGGGCAGGCTCTCTCGTGAAGGGGAGCCCTGTGCTGGTGCTCTCCATCCCCCGCCTTGCTTCCTTCCTCCCAGCCAGCAGCGAGAACCTGCACACGCATTACTTAGGACTGCGTACGCTCTGTCACCAGCCAGCCGGGTGCCTGAGGTTTAGCAGTAAGAGCTCTGGATGGAGGAATGGATGGGTCACTCAGTCAGCAGGTGTGCTTTCTCCTGTGTGAGAAGCTGCAGGCACTGGTTTTGCTAGTTGGCTAGGGTTGGTGTGAATGGTGCATTTTCCCAATGGCCTCCTTGTTGGACTGGACATATTTCACCCAAAATGTTGACTGTTTCAACAATGGAGAACCAGAGCCCCAGGCTACTCCCTCTGTTTGGGGTCTGAGTGAGTGGAAAGTCGGGGCCTGTCCTCTATCCCAGCCCTCAGCCAGCCTTGCCCAGGGTTCCCCACCATCTGGGGCCTGGATACCCACTCCTTGGGCAAGATGCCCTGTGGACCTGCCCTATTCACCCTGAATTGCCTTGGCTGCGTTGGGCTGGACCTAGAGGACACTATGCCCCAAGGGTTGGTGCATTTGCTGGCCTCAGGGGCCTTGACCTCAGGAATTGGCCAGGAGTGTGGCCATTAAGAGAGGGGTGCCTGGCCTTGTGTGACCTTGGCCAGTGGTGTCCAGCTCTGTACAGGGCCCACTGGTCCTGCCAACCTCAGAGGGTAAATAGGGGGCTAATAAGATCATACACATGAGTGCCCGGAGATGGTGCTCACCACGTGGGCTACCGCCATTCTCAAACCACTGGCCAGCCCTGGCCCTTCCTCTCCCGAAGCCCTCAATTTACAGAGGAAGACCACCCCTGAGTCTGACTGAGCCCACCCCCCACCCCGGCTGCTGTGGGGTGAGTCCACCAGGGAAATCTCCAGAATACTGGTAGCCACAAGGGTCACTGAGACTTTGAAGGAGCCATCACTACACAGACCCTTTATGGGCCCTCCATCCTGGATGGTAAGCAACACATACTCCTCCACTGAGACTGGGGAGGAGCCTCCCAGCCAGTGAGAGAGCCAGAGCCCCCTCTGAATCCCCATTCGACTCCATCTCCCAAGGCTGGGGCAGGGGCAGGGGCATGCAGCCTTGCTAGCCAGAGCCAGCCCCGGGAGGGTTGGGGGAGGAGCAGGACCTGGTGGAGTCCATTCCACAGGAGCATGGACAGTGAGCCCTGGCCCAGCACCAAAGGCACAGGAAGGCCTGTGATGAGAGTGATGGGGTCCAGCAGCCCTCACTGACCACTCCAGGAACCCTTCACCTTGCTTGTCTCACCACCAATTAAGGGCCTGATCCTGGCACAGAGCTGCCCACCAGTCACCTTGGGTGCAGTGAGGGAGCAGCTGGGGGAGCTGGTAAGAGGAGCAGGCTATGCTGGTGGGTGGGAGAGGCATAGCCAGGTACTCAGTGAGGCTTCTGGGAGAGTGAGCTGGAGCCCCACACCGCCCAGCACAGGCTGCAAGAAGTTGTGGAATAGTGGGTCCTCCCGCCACCAGCTCTGAGGGCAGAGGGAGCCCAGCCCCCACTCCTCAAAGTTTCTGAAGTACCCCTGGGGGCTAGTGGGAGGGGTGGTCCCCGAAGGATCCAGAAACTGCGGTAAGTATATGAGTGCCGGCGTCTGGGGTCCAGTCTGCAGCCTCTGCCCGTTCCCAGCCCCACCCATATGCAGATACTGGTTTCTGTCCTCCCTGAGGCCCACAGAAGTGTGGCTGCAGGAGAGTGGGGCCCCTGCTTCCCTCCTTCGGGCACTGTTCCCCTCGCTGTCGCTGTCTGCCGTGTGTGTCTGTCTAACTGCCTTTGGAGGCCCCAGACTGACGCTGGGTGCTTTTCCCTGGTCTGTGGGTGTCTGTGTATCTGCGTGTGGGCGTGTCTGTCTGTGAGTGTCTCCAGCTGAATGTGTCCTTGACCCTGTCTATCTGAACATGCCTGGGGGGAGGGGCATTCCCTCCCTTGCCTCTCCTCCCCCAACCGCTCCTGCAGGCGCTAACACAGTTGCAGCTACGGGTGCCTTGATTGTGCCAGCGAGTGCAGTGACCTCTTCTGTCCATGCAGAGCTGACCACCACATGGTGCTGTCCTCCAGGGGGCCCGTGGGCTCCAAGCTGCTGGACACTCCCCCCTCAACCTGGGGTCCCATCTGAGCGCCTAGTAGGCAAGCTCCCCTCCTGGCAGGGCCCACTGGCTCCCCATCTTTCCTTACGTAACTCTACATCTGTCTGAGCCTTGTAGGTCACCCTGCCCGCTACGCTGGGCCCTGTCCACGGGGAGACTGAGACCCAGAGTCCCACACAGATTGGGAGGGAGGAGGGCTGACCCTGATCGGAGCACAAGCTCTCGGAGATCCTTCCCTTTCTTTTTTCTTTAAGACGTTCCTTCCCTCAGACCCGCTGGCACCAAGGATGAATGAGGAGGGGTCGCGCGGGTGCAGGTGTTTCCCCTACCCCTACTCCAGGTCCCCACAGGCATCCCGGCTCCCGACGAGGGCCGGCCAGGGTTCATGGGGCTGAGGGCAGGGGGCAGGCCGAGCGGCCCAGAGCCTGGCTCCAGAGCGCACTGGCCGGCTGACTGCAGGCCGAGCCCCCAGCCCCGCCCTCGTCGCGTCCCGGCCCGGCTCCCAGCCAGCGGCTGTGCGCACCAGGCTGGTTCCCGTCAGCTATCGGGCATGCGGCGGTGTACTTGGTTTGCCGGCTCCGTTTTTGGCGGGGGGGGGGCGGGGGCGGGGCGAGGGCTACAGCCAATGGTGCCGGCGCTGAGCCAGGCGCGGGGCGCGGGGGGCGGCCGGCTGGGCACGGGGCGCACTTGGCAGCGCGCTGCACTTGGGGCGCACAGACGCTCCGGCA